TAGCGCTGATAAACAGCTGCTCTCTGATCTAAACTGTGCAGAATTATACGTAAAGCCTAGAATAAAAAGAAAAAAAAAGTGTGATTAAGACAGATATGATGTTATGAGTTTCCTTCATTCCATCCATTTCCAATCAGCAGTCAGCCCGATCTTACCATCTCATGACAGTATTTGGACTTGATGGACACAGAGCCATATTTGCTGTAGCAGGTCTCCCCGCTATTTCCAGCCATTACTGCCATATCTGTACACGTAATGCAAAGCAACCCTGACAATGAGAGAGCGAGATTACTGTATGTGTACTGCATATTGTGTTAAATAAATTCAGAATGTGCATGTAAGAGAACAGCGACAGACTCACCACCCTCACTGACAGCCTGCACAGCTGCATCCAGAAATGGAGAAGGGCTGCCATAGGGGTCAAGATCAATAACATCATATCGTTCCTTCCTCCCTCTTGCCTCATACATCACCATACTGTAAAGAAGTTGTTATACCAGGATTTAGGATGTAACTGAATCAGTGTTACTGTTAACTAAAACTATAACAAAACATTTTCAGTAACTGAAAAAAAACAAACAAACATAAAACTTAAAAATGAGGAGGGGTGAAATACTACAATTATATTAATTATTATTATAATTAATAATTATAATACAAAAATAAAGCTTGAAATTACAGAAAAAAAAAAAGAAAAAAAAAAAGTAAAAGTAAATTGAAATATATATAAATAAAATATGTTTGTGAGTGTATAAGCAAAACACTGGAAAAAATAAACAGCAGGGTGCTCAGACCTGGCATCTCTTTGGCTGGCTTGCAGTATGTGGGACACGTTGTTGTGTTGTGCATTGCGGGCGATCAGGGCAGCAGCTTTAGCAGAGTAATCATTAGCGGTGATGCTCTTCAGGCCAGGAAGCTCCAGAGCAAAACGTACAGAACGCAGGCCTGATGCTGCCAGACCCTCCAGCACATGCAGACCTTGCTAAAGCAGAAAAGAGAGATAAATTACTTTACATTTATTTATTTGGCAGACAGTTTTAGCCATGATAATTCACAAATACGGGGAAAAAACTTGACTTATGTCAGTCATAGGAGAATACTGAAAAAAAACAAGACAAGGTGAAAACACCAGTATTGTAAAATAATCTTACATATAAAATTAATTTTAATTATTTTTGACTAAATTAATTACATTTTAATTTGACATATATACACACACTCACACACATGAAGGGTTATTTAGTCTTACATATACATCCTAAGAACTAATTCACACACACAAAAAATTTAAATAATAATAATAAAAAAAAATTTAAGAAATTAAACTGAAAATATAAGTTGAAAAACTTAAACTTCAAAAACCTACATGAAAATTACAAATGTTGCCATGGCCATTAAATGAAAGTTTAAGTACCACAATTACTAAAACTAAAACTGAAATAAAAATAGTTAACATAAAAACAAACGAATCAATTAATTAAAAACAATCCAATAAAACAACAAAAACACATTACAAAATTACTAAAATTAAAATGTAAGCAAAAATAAAGCTACTTCAAAATAGTATTAAAAAAAAATGATTAAAACACAGTAATTGGCCCACACACAGACCTCACATCTTTCCCCTACAGATGCAGTGATGAACTCTTTCTTGTCACCCTCTTCTTCCATTTGCTGCTCATTTTCAGGCTGTTCTGATGTTTCCTGGTCCACCTTTCCATTCTTCTCCTCTGAGAGTTGAACCACAACTCGATCTTTCTCACCCGGGATCAAGATCCGGACGCCCCTCTGAGCCAGCTGCACCCTAGCAAACTCTGTGATCACCGCACACCTGATCGAAGAAGGTAAATAGGAAGTTTAATGGAAGTTTAATTAAAAAGCAAACATTACAAGATGTCACAAGACTAGATGCTGTACTCACGTTAAATCTCGATTGAACTCCTGCACAGGGTTGTAGAACACCTCATTAGCACTTGGGAATAAAATGGCAGCCTTTCCCTCTCTCACAACTGTCTCCCCTGGTAAAAGCCCAGGTTCTGTAGATGAGGTCTGGCTGCTTTCTGTAGGGCTGGAAGGTTTGGTTTCTTCCATTGGTACTGCTGTGGTAGTACTGTCTGCACCTGCACTGGTCGTGTCCGGGGATTCTTCAGGTTCTTTCTTGCTGTCCATTGTCCTGAACTTTTTGAAGACACAATTGTGTCCTGTAGTGAGGATCTGAAGTAGTGAGGATCTCTTCTTAGGAAATGCTAAAGATAAACCAGTACACCTTGAGGATACTAAAGTACAGTCCTAGCTAACATCTACCAAAAAAAAAATATTTTAGTTAATAAGCGCTTACAAATTCCTACATGATGTATCAATTGACAAAAAACAAAACAAAACAGATAAATACAAGGATTCTCACACCTTTTGACAAAAGAACTTTACAATGATTTTTCCAGTCATGTACAGATATATTCATTTCCAATCTAGAGACACAGACAAACAAAACTACATCAAAACGTCCTTGTGATTTTTTTAATTACCCATAAAAACCACATGACCTAATTTTACATTTAATAAAAATTGTATTTAATGAATGTTTTAAACTAAGTTTAATTTAATTTGCATGTTTATTTTCATACACCTCAAAACATGGTCAGCTTCACGTTCATAATGTAACTAGCCAGACTAGCATTAAAATGTATCTCGCTCTCCAACTTACCGTTGATTATCCTTCCTAAAAGATACTTTAATTATGCCATCATTCACGAACAAAAACAAACCACATCGTGAAACGTACACTAGCACAGAGACTTGTCAACTGTTCGCTTGAATGTTTCCAGGGCAAATTCACATGTGTATCTTATGCTGTGTGTGAACTACGGAAGCCTTGTAGTACTAAACGCCTGACAGAGACTCTAGGCACTGCGCATGCGCACAGCAACCTATAGAAAAGCGCTATACTGTAAAATAAGGGCACCGAGGACAAAAGTGGGTCATTTAGGATCTCTCTCTCTCTCTCTTTTTTTACAATAAAATAAGCCCATAGCACAAATCACAGAATGTTTCAGTAACTGTCCCCTTTTAAGTCGCTTTGGATAAATGCGTCTGCTAAATGCATAAATTTGTCAGAATATCACAATACATTTTATTTTTAGTCTGTGCCTGTTTATGCTTTTGTAATATTGTATGAATGAATTAAAGAATAAATAAACACTACTTTCTCTAATTCTCTAATTTTAGTAACTGAATTATCATTATTATTATCAACAGTGTATACTGAAAAGTGTACACTGAAAAGTGGTTAATATAAATAAAATTAAAGTTTTTTGTTTGGAAGAGTTTGTAGTAAACCACAATATTATAACTTTTCTTTTATCTCTGATGCAATCTTAAACTTTGCAGTTGTCAAGAGCAGGGTTCTTCAACGGTTTTCAGGGTAAGGACCCCTTAGTGACAGAGATATGGAGCAAGGACCCCCGATATGTGTCAAGCAGAGCTACATATTAAGCATACAGCCTTAGATATTAATAGAAACTAAACATATTATGATTAAGAATAAATTATGTTATAAGGTATGTATTTTATGTAAAGACAGTAGATCAGAACTATGCACATTATTATTGTTGCACATGTATCACTGCCTGTATATTTCACTTTATTGTTAAAATTGAGATTTATGCATAATAAAAAAACATGTTGAGATAAAAATCACAATTCATTAGTTGTTTGCAGTTGTTGTATATTATTTTAATTGATTTGCAGAGTCATATATTTTACATTTACTAGTCAGATGTGCATTTACATTTACCTGAACTTCAGCTAGCCTATAAGTTTATTAAAAATTCACATTTGTGACCCTGGACCACAAAACCAGTCATAAGGGTCCATTTTTTTAAATTGAGATTTATACACCATCTGAAAGCTGAATAAATAAGCTTTCCATTGATGGTTTGTTAGGATAGGACAATATTTGGCCAAGATACAACTATTTGAAAATCTGGAATCTGAGGGTGCAAAAAATCTAAATATTGAGAAAATCGCCTCCAAGTTGTCCAAATGAAGTCCTTAGCAATGCACATTACTAATCAAAAACTAAGTTTTGATATATTTACGGTAGGAAATTTACAAAATATCTTCATGGAACATGATCTTTACTTAATATCTTAATTATTTTTGGCATTAAAAAAAATCGATAATTTTGACCCTTACAATGTATTTTTGGCTATTGCTACAAATATTCCCGTGCTACTTATGACTGGTTTTGTGCTCCAGGTTCACATTTTACTTTTACTGTCAGATGGACAAATAAATATTTACGCAAACTTTAACTTCAATCTTACTAAAACTGAACATTTCATTTTTACTGTGACTTGGAGCAGCGGCTCCGTGACAAGAATAGCAATGTACAGTTCAGGAATATTTAACTATTTTAAACATTACATTTGAAATCTTATCTTTAAATTTCTATAATCATAGTATATTTTATATGTAATATTTAACAAAAATTCTATAAATACATTATCTGCGTAAAGTATGCCTTCTCTGTGCAGCATTAATGTCGTGGCACAGCCTATGCTCTTTCTGTACTAATGGCACATTCAATCTAATAATCTAATCTAGTCACGCTCTATCTCATTGCCTACGCGCCATATAATTTGACCCCATTAGAGCGACGTGATGGACATATTTTGGAGCTGTTCAGTGCACACTTCTCCAGTGCGACATGAGGAGTCGAGTTGGCATGCTGTGCGCGTAGCACCCAGAGTCCCAAACCCCTCTAGGGCTTCACCTGAGTCTAGACGCTCCACGCAGCTCACTTTCCCCGCACTGCCGCACGCACAGACCAGACCCAACGGAGAGCGCGCTGCGCGAGTTGCACGCATTGGCGTTCAGACAGCTTTCTTTATTTTGGTCTGTGTGTGATCGGTGACTCTGTGCTCTAACCGGGGTGACAGAATGATGCACCCCTCGATAATTCTGCGCTCGGGCGTCTTGCCTGTGCATTCGCGATGAATGGCTGCCCGTAGAGAGAAAGAGTCTGACTCCTCCATTGAAACACTTTCCAGCAGATCGCAAGTGAGGGGGTGAGTATTTTAACGCATGCACGAGAGGTTCATGCCACTTTAAGTGGGGTCAAGGGGCAACCACGTGGGTTGAACAAGGGGGTCGAATTTAGTTATTGTTGTGGCAGGGGGTAATTGAGAACGATTTGAGGGGATTTTTTTGGACAGGGGTATTGTTTTGTGAAGGTGTACGATTGCTTTAGATGGGGGATGGGCTTGCGAAACTTTAACCACTTCAATGACTTGCTGCCGAAAGCTTGATTTATATTGCATCAATGCGTCCGTCTATATTTTCCAACTTTTTAGCCATGCATACACATCGCTTGCAATGTTGGCACGTTTTTCTGGACTATTTGGGGATTTGTACTGGAGGAGGGCATTAATGTGCATTGCTTTCAGACGTCAAGTGGTTAATATGGTGTCTTGTCTCGCGGATCAGTCTGACTCGCCCCCCGGTTGCTGCAGTTGTCCCAAGATGACCTGTTGATGTCGGGGAAAAGATGGAGCCGAGCCCCCCTTCCTCCTCCTCCAAAATGGAGTAGAATTTAACCACAGAATATTTTATGTGAAACCCAATGATTGCGCCGCGTGCATACAAATGATGACTTCTACTTAATTTGCATGCGCTTTGCAAGTATCTGGCGAGAGAGTGATAATAAGAACGCATGTATATGGATGTTGTTGGGGGAATAAAAACATTTTAGGTATAGATATCATGGTATGCGAAGGGCTGTAACTCAGCCCGACATTTCATAGCATTGCACTGGCACCGAGGGGGCGAGGGAAACGGATGTGGGCTCCTCAATAATTCATCTATCAGACTATTTTGGTGACAGAATTTTTGAAGGCTAAGCAGCTTTTAGCTCTTTGGTCGCCGCATCAAGTGTGGAAACCAGGCAATTGGGGAATTATTTCTTATTTAGTTTTTTGCCCCCTGGGGCCCGTGCCAGCCCGGAGCTCGTGTCCAGTTGGGCAGCGGTGCGGGGCACACACGCTCACCGGGTACTGCAGCCCTGCCGCGGCCGCCACATCACAGAAGCACCGGCGCCCGACTCTCAACAGTGAGATCACAAACTACTGTTAATTTATTACCTTATTGTTTTTAATTAAACTGCTGTTGTTATGCCATTGGGAAATATTGCTGTGCGAGTGATACAAAGAAAATAGTCTGGGTGAATTAAACGGCATTTTCGCTGCATAGATCATGAAGCTGTAATTACATTAACGACAATCGAAAGTAGGCTACAAGATTACTCTTAGACCAAGTTTTTAGTAATTTTACTATGTTTCTTAAAATGTGATTACTGTTAGCTAAGGAACTAGCTTTAACCCTTTAAATTAGGATGGTACAATCCGAAAATTCCAAAATGGCATATAGTTACTACAGTTTCTGCTGGTGCTTATAATAAATTAATATTTATATTACATTTTCTTAGAACAGCATAAGAATATTTCCAACAGGTTAATTTTGCCTTGAAGTGGCGACTACATTATATATATATATATATGTGTGTGTGTGTGTGTGTGTGTGTGTGTGTGTGTGTGTGTGTGTGTGTGTATATCTATCTATCTATCTATCTATCGATCTATCGTAAAATATTATTGTAGGCCTAAGGGTTAAAAGGAGTATGAACGGAAGCAGATGTTTTGTTACTGAACAAAACCTTACTGCTCAGCTAGACAAATCTTTGATCTGCTTCCTAAGCATTGCTTTAACCTCCTGATCAACCTTTGTACAAAGACACAAAGCAAGAAGTTGGAGTGAAATTACTCAGTACACCTTTAGTGGGGATTTCTGATCAAACTGTAGTTCAGTAGTTTTAAGAATTGTTAACAGATTTTGTAAGATACATTTATACTAGTGTTAAAGTGTTGAGCTGATCTATATTGCATTTTACATGTAAAGATTTAGCAGACACTTTTTTGTCCAAAACAACTTACAAATAAGGAACACAATAAGCAATTAGTCGTAAGGCAAAATAACACGAGAAGTGCTAGCAATACAAAGTTTCGAGCATCATTCAGAAAAGCACAGGCTAGAAGCTAGAAAAAGGAGGGATAGAGGAATAGTGAAAGCATAGAAGGTGAAGCAGGATGCAGGTTAAGTGCTCTTTAGCAGACAGATTGACACAAGTAAACAATGTATTTGTATAAAAGTCACTGCACTTTTGAGGTTTGAGTGTTGCTGGTCACACAGAGTACATACAAATATGATTTCATGTAAAGTGCAAATACAGTTATTCTCTGCATGTTGGATAGCATAATACAGGATGGCATAGTCCTAATTGCCTTGTTTTTTTACCCCTAGATAGCCATTGCATTAGACATGTGCTCTATTTTTCTGTTAAAGAATATTCATTGAACCACTTCCTGCATACCATCTATTCATCTTTTGCTTCTAAAAGGATTTTGTTCGTTAGAAAGTAGGTATGCACCGAATGTTCGGCAACCGAAATTATTCGGCCGAAAATATAATAAGCGAAAAGACCGAATAAAGTGTACCGAACAATGATATGACGCGATCAAATAGCAAGCAGCGCAGAGTGAGAGGCGCGCGCTCTTTATTATGCAGCACACACGTCAGCAGTGTGGAAGCATTTAAACTGTCGGAGAAAGACGCAAAAATCATTACAAGCACCGACAGCGAGAGACTGTTTAGGACTGCAGCGCATGTCTTCAATGAGAAGAGGAAGGGGTGATTGTTGCTGGTTACTGTATGATGATTGAAATCGCGAAATGGCCTTAAACAATTAGTAAATAAACTGCAGAACGTTATGTTTTCTAATACACGCGCGCATTGCATATGTTCTGACATCGCTGCACGAGCTCGCAGCAGATCTGTTTGATAACCAGGGTTCAAAGTCCAAAGCGCGAGGAAACTGCGCTGATACAGTCGTCCGTTGCTCAGTCACATTTTTATTAATTTTTACAAGGCATGTGACAATGCGATACGTACGACGTATTCGTAATGAGACTCATTTATAAATCTGTTGTCAACAAAAAGAAGCACTGAGGTCTTCCTGTGTGTTTCCGCCAAAATAAACGTTGAGAAAAAGCAAGAGATCTTATCAACATTCATACATGTTATTATTGTAATTTTACTGTTGTTCTGTAAAATAAAATAAAAAGTAAGACAATAATAATGATAATCATTACTCTGTTTTAATACATTTATTATAACATTCACACATAGTGTTCAAATTAGGATCTGTAATATTTTCTAATGTTTTAAAAGAAGTCTCTTCTCAGCAAGGCTGCTTTTAATTGTACAGTAAAAAAAAAAACATGCCTGATTCAAGATGGCCAAAATTTATTATTTTACACACTTATTAATTTTAAGTTAAATTGTG